ATACGTCCATTTTTACTGCACGTTGCTGGATTATTTTATACATTGTTGAAAAGTTTAAAAATATATTTCACCATTTAAGTATACATTCCTATAAGAAAAATTAAAGATGTTAGAAGTTAGTTTAATTTAGGTCCGAATTTCGCAAAATAAATATTCTTCGATTACGACGAAATTCGACCATAAGGATGGAGAACATTCAGGCATGCAAATGCCTGCCTGGAGGTGTTGAATAGGGTATATGAGTTAGGTATTTTCCCTAAAAGATGGAAAAACTCGAGGTTGATACTGGTTCCTAAGCCAGGAAAACGCCCAGAGGATCCAGGAGGGTGTAGGCCAATCTGCCTAATTGATGTAATGGGCAAATTATACGAAGCAATAATACTGGCTAGATTGAACGCGAAGATTGAGCGTAGTGGCGTGTTAAACGACAGTCAGTATGGCTTCATAAAAGGCAGGTCCTCAACTGGGGCTGCCAAAGGCATTGTAGATGCATTAAAAAGAGAAGGGAGAAATAACTGGTGTGCTCTTATATTGCTCGATGTGAGGAATGCCTTTAACTCTGCGAGTTGGCGCATTATTATCCGTAATCTGGAGGAGAGAAGAATCGCTGGACAGATAAGAAGGGTCATAGAAGACTACCTTAAAGACAGGACGGTGGAGGTGGACAATGAAAACAAGTTCTTGGGCCCCACGCTATGGAATGTCCTTTATGACGGCGTCCTGAGCATAGACATGCCAGGGGGTGCCCGACTCACAGCCTACGCCGATGACCTGGTGGCGTTAGTTGTAAATCCCACGGAAGAAAGGCTGATGGAGTGCGGAAATGAAACGCTACGAAGAGTGGAGGGTTGGATGCAAGAAAATGAATTAGCACTTGCTCCGGAAAAAACCGAAGCTATCGCCATGTCAGGTATGAGGCGACCAAAGAAAGATATTAAATTTAGGCTGGGACAGGCCACAATAAACATTCAGAACCGGGTAAAATACCTAGGGATTGTAATTGATCGCTAACATTCGGAGCACATGTTGAGGAGACCTGTATAAAGGCTGAGAGGACCATCGCGGCTCTGACCCGACTGTTACCTAACATTGGGGGGCCCAGGGAAGACAAAAGGAGAGTACTGTCAGGAATGGTAAACTCTGTACTTTTGTACGCGGCTCCTGTGTGGGCTGACGCCATGCGAATAGATAGACACAAGAATAGGATGTTGAGCACACAGAGGAAGATTGCTCTTAGAGTGGTGCGCGGGTATCGGACTGTGTCCACGGAGGCCATCTTGGTGGTAGCAGGCGTTATACCAGCACACCTCATGGCAGAGGAGAGGAAACGTTTGTTTTGCGAGGAGGGAAATCATGCAGGATTAGCTAGGGAGGCTCGGGGGAGGACCCTGGAACAGTGGCAGCGAGAGTGGAGCAATGGAGAGAAGGGGTCATGGACAAGAACACTTATCCCTGACGTAAGACCTTGGACGGACAGGAAGCATGGTTATACAGGGTATCATGTCACTCAAGCGCTGACGGGTCACGGGTCTTTCAGAAAGTATACGAACAGAATAGGCAAGGCAGAGGACGATCTTTGTATCTACTGTCACGAAGAGGATACGCCGGAACATACTCTGTTTAGATGCGTAAGATGGCCGAACATACGCCTAGAACTTGAGTTGGAGATCGGGACTGAGATAACAAAGGATAACATGGTGAAGCAGATGCTGGAAAGCGAACGGAAATGGAGAGTTATTAGTAGGGCCTTAAGCGACATTATGATCGGAAAGGAGGGAGATGAGAGAACACAATAGAATAAAATCAAAACGGCCAGCGTTGCCGATGCAAGCTCTTTGCTGAGTGTTCCCGGCTCTACAAGGCCGTTTTTTTTCTGAAAGACAGAGGAGGGGTTTTAGTGGGTAAGAATCCCATAGCCACCTGCGCAATGGAAAGACTTCGCGCAGGGACCCTTTTGAAGGTTTCCCCTCCTCTATTAAAACTATACTTTCCACACCAGTAAGTCCGAATTTCGCAAAATAAATATTCTTCGAATACGACGAAATTCGGCCATAAGGATGGAGAACATTCATCATTAATCTGGGCAACCTAAGAAGATCAAATGTTTAAGATAAGATAAGTTTAAACTAACATCGCCTTTTCCAGCCACGGCTTTGGGAGCCGCCTTAGACCGGATATAAGACCTGCTCACCCAAGGGACGCCAGACAAAAAACCCACATCAACCCACATTTGCAGTACTTTCATCAGGGACGGAATCCTATTCCGAGCGTGTACCCGATATATTCTCTTTAAAAAATCACCCCGTGTTAGATTCTTTAAAAAAAAAATCTCACGGGCTCTAACGCTCGCGAAGCTCCTCAAGAATCTCGTCTAAGCTTGTCAGATCTACGACGAAGACCCTAAGGATACCCAGCTTCGTAGCTGTCATCACTCGTTTTCATACGAGGCGCAGGTTCTCATCAGAGACCTTATGCCAAAAAAAAAACTATCAGTGCCAAATCACACAAAAACTATAGAGACTCGAACTCGTAGTGTTGCAGAATCTTAAGATTCAGTATAGTCACTGAAAAAAATTATACAGGGTCAGCCGAAACCCCTGAACCAGAAATAAATAGGATCAGTTGAGACCTGAATTTGAACTAGTAACAAAGCAAGTACAGTGTGTTATGTATTGTCTAAAATAACAATACACTGTTTTGTATTAAGACTTTTATTTGACCATTAATGTTAATGATAACATGAAAACTACAATTAGACGGCGCGGCGTGACTGTGGCGTGACTACTCCGACTCATTTTTAACATTGTAAGTCCCATTGCTGCCAACATATCTCACTGAACCCACAGCCCACTGAGCTAACATAACACAGTGCATTTCAGTGTTTTGGATAACAAATTTCGAGCATGGCAAAGGCAAATAACATCATCAATGTAGGTAGAACGCAGGTCTTTGAGCCACTCTTCTCAGTAGACCCTTGTAATGAACCAGTATTGATGTTAAGTTTTGTGTAAGAGTTTCGCTATTTATTTATTTAATTATCTTATTTGGCGAGAGCAATTATTATCCGCGAGTCGAGCTGAACCGTCCGTTCGCCCCACTCTGTCGAGGGCCGCGCGCATAATCCCACCACGACTCCTGCCTAGTCAAGGGGGGATTGAAGCAATAAAACAACCGTTCCTGCACGGTGCACGAAGATCCTCAGTTCGCTGCTAGAACTCGAAGACGGATAGACCCTAGAAGTTTGGCTGGGTGCCCCACCGCTTTTGCGAGAAATCTGTCGGCCACCCCGCATTTGAACTCGCACCTCGTCCAGACTTTGCCTTCTGTTTACCACCAACATCATTGTCCTGATTACCGTTTGCTTATTTGTGCCTGATGTAAACCACTTTGCTTGGCTTTTTCCTCCTGGCTGGTCACATTTCCGCTTAATTTCCGTCGATTTGCTAGAAAACCGCCGCCGATATTTATTTGTAGAATTAGAGTAACCCGTAATCACTTTTCTGTTTCAGAACCATTGGGGACAATTTATTTATTAATTATTTATTGCTCTAATTTATTAATCTTATTTTTCCCCTTTCTAGCACTGACCGAAATGTAAAACCGAATATTATTCTGGCGTACCGTTTCGTAAAGTCTTAGATTGTTTATTAAATAAACCAAACGCCAAAGACTCCGTTTTCTACCGTACCGATTTTGTGTCCTGATCTTTTGACTAATTTGTATTTATTTACAGCTCCGAAAAACCGTATCGGCATTTTAAATCCGTCGTACAAATAATAATTGCTCTAACCCATTTTATTTCATTCTTACACCGCTTGTAAATTTATTGTATATACCTGGTTTTAGTTAGTAATAAAAATTGTAATTAGAATCTGTTTTACTTTTGTTTGTTTGTTTCAAATTCAATAGGCCTGATTAATAAATCTAGTAAATATAATTCCCGTTTGTATTCATTCTTAACGCCGACAAAGTTGATAAAAT